GTGACTAGAAGATGTATGGAAATGGTAGTGCAAGGTAGAGGGGGAAGAGGTCGACCGAAGAAGACATGGATGGAGTGTGTAAATGATGATATCAGAGAGAAAGAGAGAGAGAGTGATTGAGTGTTGAGATGACGGCTGGTAGAGGAGAATGGGAAAAAAAAAATTCGCTGTGCCGACCCCACCTAGTGGGATAAGGCGGAGACAAAGAAGAGATGTTTGTTAAATACTAAGAGAATCTACATGGTTTAACAATACATTGTTTATTGGAAAAGTCGATTGAATGTATTTTTTTCATTTTATTTGGAAAATAATTTGGAGCCAGGGGGCATCCGCTCCTCTGTTACCCCGAGGCTTCCAGACCTCTGAATGAGGACCTGGATAAGCCTGCAGATATACAAGTTCCGAACAACAACATTCGGACCGTTGGTCTACCGAGCAAATATCACCCGCTCGGTGGAGGATCGGGAAGATCTTCATCATTAATATCTTCTGTTATTATTATTTTCCTACCTAAGCTGATAGATAGCCTTGAGAGGCTATTTCAGCGGAACCTTAACTAGTAGGTGAGCTCACGGAGCTCAAACCTGATGACGTTGCTAACACGAACCCTAGCAAGAGCCGTGCTTCGCGGAATCTACCACTAGATCGGAAACGCGACCCACTGAGAAGATCCGGCGAGAAACTCAGTGGGCTGTGTCTGAGGGTTTACTGGTCGAGCCCTTCGTCGCAAGCGACGGGTTCGACGAGAACGATGACCGGTGCTTGAGGTACCTAAAAGCACCGTTAGTGGATCGGGAAGATGTGACGAAAATGACGTGTTTTGGGCGACGTCGACTGCTTTCCATTTTGTCCGCAGGATCGGGAATGTTTACCTTAATATTCCAAAGTCCCTCCTTAGACCTAGAGACTGCAAAACGACTTGTGAGGGTAGATTTTTTTTGAAGTGAAAGCTTCTTTATTATCGTTGTTATAGTTGTGACGAAAGGCTCGGCGAGTAAATTAACCCACAGATACAGCCCATTTTCTCGCCGGATCTTCTCAGGGGGTGGCGTTTCCGATCCGGTGGTAGATTCTGCGAAGCACTGCTCTTGCTAGGGCTAGTATTAGCAACGTCCTCAGGTTTGAGCCTGTGAGCACACCTACTTGTTAGGTTAAGCTGACATAACCTCTCAAGACAAAAAAAAATCGTTGTTATTTGAAAGTCGATGAAACGAAAAAGCGACACTACGCATAAATCCATAAGAATTAACGTGGGAGGAATGAGATAGGAAGCATAGTGGTTTTTTTAATACAGCGCCATCTATGAGATCATTTTAAATGACTAACGTGTATGAAACCTCTTGTAATGAATTTTAATTTAGGATAATAGATGAAGTTAAAATATCAATTCACAGGGGGCGCTAGCTGATACTATAATGGATGATAACTTGTAATTATTTCGACAAAATTTTACTTACATACCTACTTAGACATATAAAAGTTTTGAAAGTTTCACTTCTGCGAATTGTGAATTGCATTATTGATGATATTTTGTTTATTGATGAAAGAGGAGAGCGAATACACGGCCCACAAAGCGATTCCCCACCCTTCAAACCGAAACGCATTACTGCTTCACGGCAGAAATAGGCGGGGCGATGGTACCTACCCGTGCGGACTCACAAGATATCCTACCACCAGTAATTTTGCGGGTTCGAGTTTTATTACACGACTAGCCGTTCTCTTTACCGTAGATTTATATATTAGTATAGATATACATACTTACATACACATAATAAATCAACAGTTTTTTTTTTTTTTTTTTTTTCCTACCTAAGCTGATAGCCTTGAGAGGCTATGTGAGCGTAACCCTAACTTTAGTAGGTGAGCTCACGGGGCTCAACCTGACGATGTTGCTAACACGAACCCTAGCAAGAGCCGTGCTTCGCAGAATCTACCAACGGATCGGAAACGCGACCCACTGAGAAGATCCGGCGAGAAACTCAGTGGGCTGTGTCTGAGAGTTAATTTACTCGTCGAGCCCTTCGTCGCAAGCGACGGGTTCGACGAGAACGGTGACCGGTGCTTGAAGTACCTAGAAGCACCGTTAGTGGATCGGGAGGATCCGAGATGACGTGTTTTGGGCGACGTCGACTGCTTTCCATTCTGTCCGCAGGATCGGGAATGAATCAACAGTATCGATAGAGCATAAACAAGCAAACAACAATAAGCATAATATAAATAACGTTCCTTCCACATTCTTTTAAAGCAGTTTAAAGTTTGAGCACTTCTCACTGCATCCGGCAGAGCATTCCACAATCGAACCGCCTGGACGGTGAATGAATTATCAAAGAATGATAATGAATGAGCCAGCATTTTCAGTCTCAGGCTATCCGATGGATCTCAGACAAAATAATGCGTATCACGTAAAGAAAAACTTTTAAAACTCTTTATATACTATATTTACTCTTACATACTATAGTATGTAAGAGTAAATATAGTATATATATTTGGTACACAGAGCTGTTAGAAGAAACACGACAATAAGGATACAGAGTATTATATATCATGTTGAAATCTCTTCCAGTAGGCCCACAGAAGGAAAGAAGAATTAGGAACACAAACCTAGTGCATACAGTAAACGTTACATATAATAATATATACATATTACAAGATACAAAACAATATATATACATACAAATACACACACACACATATATACCATTTTCTTAGAGGGAGTCTTTATTTAGTTTTCTCCTCCCTATGCTGATAGCCTTGAGAGGCTATTTCAGCTTCGCCCTAACTTGTAGGTGAGCTCACGGGGCTCAAACCAGAGTGATGCTAACACTGACCCTAGCAGGAGCCATGCTTTGCAGAATCTACCACCGGATCGGAAACGCGACCCACTGAGAAGATCCAGCCAGAAACTCAGTGGGTGTTCACCCGTCTTTCGTATAGGATTAGGAATTCTGTCTAAAATATTAATTTTAAAAGATATTAAGGTCTTTATTTTTTTATTATATGTATTACAGAAAACGCAATTAAGTATTTTATTGTTTATTCATTCTGAAATACTCCATATCGTTATATAAATATCTATATCTTCTATATATATATATAAAAATGAATTGCTGTTGGTTAGTCTCGCTAAAACTCGAGAACGACTTGACTGATTTGGCTAATTTTGTTCTTGAATTATTTGTGGAAGTCCAGAGAAGGTTTAAAAGGTGAATAAATATAAAAAAGCTCGGAATTACTTAAATAAAAATAATAATTTTGTTTTCCCTTTGATTTGTCCCCCGTCGGACGGATTCTTTTTGTTTGTTCTAAGTTTATTTATACAAAAGTTTAGGTCTTTTATTTATAGATTGAGGCACTACGAAGTCTGCCGGGTCAGCCAGTATATATTAAAAATCGCGTACGTAATGCAATACGTTCGCTGTTACGCTCAAACGATTGATTTAATCACCAATTAACAATTTAACGATGTTTCGATCGAATATAACGCTAATGTAAGTCTTAGGTAATGTTTTTTTTTGCCTACCTCATCTGGTAGGTAAGCTCACGGGCTCAGCATGAGAGATTTTTTTTTATGGCTTTGTTGGGTGGACGAGCTTACAGCCCACCTGGTGTTAAGTGGTTACTGGAGCCCATAGACATCTACAATGTAAATGCGCCACCCACCTTGAGATATAAGTTCTAAGGTCTCAGTATAGTCACAGGTATAGTTACAACAGCTGCCCCACCCTTCAAATCGAAACGCATTACTGCTTCACGGCAGAAATAGGCAGGGCGGTGGTACCTACACGCGCGGACTCACAAGACGTCCTACCACCGGTAAGGTTTGCTAACACTAGCCCTAGCAAGAGCAGTGCTTCGCTGATTCTACCACCGGATCGGGATTTATTTTTTATTGCTTTTGTATGCAGACGAGCATACGGCCCACCTGAAGGTAAGTGGTCACCGTCGCTCATGGACGTCAGCAATGCCACAGGCAGAGCCAAGCCGCTGCCTAACAAAATCCACTGAGAAGATCCGGCGAGCGATTGGTTTGTTAACCAATGACTGTCGTTTTATTGTATAGGGTGAGAACGTAGCCACACGGGGGCGTTGACCTCGCCCGTCATTTGTTGTTACATTGCGTTGTCAACTCTGCTAACATTAATGTAACAATTTACTTGATTTATTGATGTCCAAGGTTCCATTCGCCTTGCCAACAATTTTAAGTAACCTCTTAATGATCTTTTTTGCCACGTACCATCCGGCTATGGAATGAGCTCCCCTCCACGGTGTTTCCCGAGCGCTATGACATGTCCTTCTTCAAACGAGGCTTATGGAGAGTATTAAGCGGTAGGCAGCGGCTTGGCTCTGCCCCTGGCATTGCTGAAGTCCATGGGCGACAGTAACCACTCACCATCAGGTGGGCCGTATGCCCGTCTGCCTACAAAGGCAATAAAAAAATTAAAAAAAATAATTATGATAACAAAAAAAAACAATCAAAATCATCTTACAAAATTTTATTATAAAAAAAAAATATAATAATAAAAATACAGTCTTCGTAACAATTCATAAAATAATAAGTAAATAACATTTTAGATTGTATCTTGTATTTGTTTAAAATATTTCATAATAATAATAAAAAAAGGAACATTGTGTGAAATAATGAAAAAAAATAATAATCAATTATTAGTAATTACCTTAAACTAATATTACATTCAGATGTATTTATTTAAAAAAAAATACAATTAACGAACAATATTTATTTATTTATTTTATAACATTCAATATATCTATAGAAAATATCTATAGATAAATTGAATTGGGATTTGTTCAATCGACACGGGCGCTCTAACATATATGTTAACAATCTTACTTGACTGGTGGTAGGACGTCTTGCGAGTCCGCGCGGGTAGGTACCACCACCCCGCCTATTTCTGCCGTGAAGCAGTAATGCGTTTCGGTTTGAAGGGTAGGTGAACGGTTGTAACTATACTGAGACCTTAGAACTTATATCTCAAGGTGGGTGGCGGCATTTACGTTGTATATGTCTATGGGCTGAGTTATAAAAAAAATGGTACAGATTTACGTCACAGCGTTCCCAATAAGCACCTCAATTACTGTCTCACGCCACAGCCGCTAACCTTAGAACATGAGGCGCTCCCTCCTGGCTGAGCCTTTGCTCGCCCACCTGTCCTGGTGAAACTGGAAAGGCCACCGGCCAACCAGTAATCTTTCAAGCATAAAAAAAAAAACATGAGGTTAAAGACCCAAGAACAACGCTACAATCAAACCGTTCTCAAACGCGACCTCCACTCGTAACCTCCAGAATGTCAATTAAAACAGATCCTCCATTGTTTCATTTCACTTGAATACATTTAATTTTCGCTTTACTGACTCAAATGACTTCAATATGTCATTACGGGTATATTTTTTACATTGAATATGACAAGATCTATGTAAATAGCACGTGCAGATCGATTTAAATGAGAAAGATCTGTATTAGAACGAAGAGAGCACATAATTAAGACTTTTAGCGCGAATCGTCGATAGATCGACTCTCTAGTGATGCGTATAAAGCGCAGAGTCGAAATACCGATTATTTGCGCAGTTTGATTATTAGGTATCGAACTGCACGGACGTGTCTTAGCGCGCGACCTTTTAACGATTTTTTAATAAGGCAATAACATTTATAAATAACCATTTAAAATTATTTTGCTGCCAATTTTCAGTGATTTATTTTTTGTATTATTTTCTCAAAAAATCTTTAGCACGTTCTAAAAAATATGTATAAATAAGCTCAGCACTAAAATAGCTATATCAAAACAGTTTTGTGAAGAATTAAATACTCTCGCTTTCAACGAATATGTTTACAAAATTACACAATTACTTTCGATTTACGATAATTACATTAATTTCCCTGACGTTTTAAATTGAATTCCCGTGTTATTAATCGAAATAACACGAAGCCATTACGTGTTAGAATCGCGGCAAGAGCCCGTCATATAACAAGGGAGTCAGTTAGGTTGGCGCCACAGTAGCAAATGGAGAGATTTTAGAATGAGCACCATAAACTATTACAGATACTAAATTAAGAACGAAAGAAACTTCCTATGTGAATATCAATAAAAATAAATAGTTGAGATTTTAAATATGAATTCCATATTTTTTTACAACACAAGGCACGTAAAATATTATTTTTTTCAACTTAGCACACATCGCTCTGTTTAAAACTGCTATATTCATATAATTTCCCCTTCCTACACTAGCGCTGTGTCGGTGAGTCTTCCAACAACAACGCGCTGTTTACAGACGGGACAATTTATCAACTTATCCCCTATACAAGATGGCGCTCCTTACTTCTACCCTGCATAGTTTCTTAAGATGGTATCGGAACATTCAGTTGGCTTTTTAAATAAAATCATGCCAGGGGATGTGATGCAGTCATAGATAAATCTCATAGATTTGCTTCCCAAAATGCCCCAAAGCAACATTACAATCCGACGATCGCGATTAGAAGATTTTCATCTGTTTTAACTAAAAATGAAGCGTGCTGATTTTTTTTTTATTTATTCCTTTTCACGCTTCTTATAAACATAACTACCATGAAAATATCGAAACACGAATCTTTTAGACTCCATCGTGCCGCATTGCAAAATTACAATCATAAACAGCGTCTTTAGAAAGCTTGTGTAAGCAAACGAACCGCTTTCGGAGTTTTCTTCAAGAACGTTTCTGGTGTAATTTTAATTTCAGCTTAATTGAAAGCTTTTGGGGACATTTTTTTAATACACAGGTACTCTTACTCTCCACACACCAGTGTAGTAATCTACGCTTGACAGCTGCCACTTTTGACATATGTCATTTTTAAATTCCAGTGATTTGAGATCGCTACATACTATGCTCGCTTAGTTAGACGCAGCTGAAGACGTGTCGACATAAGAGGTTACATACCTACTTACATTAAATCACAAAGTATATTGATTACAATAGTTTATTTCACGCACCGTCTCACTATTAGATCGATTAAAATCATGCATTAAAATTCAATGTTTTATTGTGCCGATTCACCAAATCGTTTAAAATCCTGCACGTGAATTTCTACAATAGCATTCGGCCAATCATGAGCATTCGTGAACACAAGCGTAAAGTAGCTGGTGGCCTTTGCCGATCCCACTGCCTTCGGATAAGCAGCGTTATAGATTACACGCCCGTATAAATATTCCACTTTATAATGTCATAATTATTTATATTTCAAATTAACGTTTTACAATTACAAATAAAGATTACACACCTCATTATGGATTTTAAAATAAAAACCCGCAGAACTGTTCGCCTAGCGTTATTGCATCACTATTTTGACGTGTGACATTCATTTAATGTCATTTTTTTAAGACATAAATTAATGTAATGTCAAATTTAGTATTTTTTGACATTATTCATTGTGTATTTTTTACGGGCTTATTTTAATGTCGAAAACAGTTTTCGACAAAAATGGTTAAATAATCATAATGATATAAAAATAAAAATAAATCATTTTTAGACCAAACAATCTAACATTGCCTGATATCGAACGATAAGATCTTTCTAAAATAAAGCTATGAAATTAAAAACCTTATATGTAAACGTTCTGTTTAGTTTAAAATTCGGTTCAAATTACTTTGTTTACTGATAACATAAGCATTTAAGCATATTAAACATTCATACCAATTTCGAGCAAATTTCACTAAACGCGAAATCAGACTTTTGGTTAGGTATGAGTCCCTTATAAAATTATTAGGTAACTTGGAAACACTCGAATAAATACAATCATAATTATCGCAAGCTCCGCTCTGATAATAGCTGGAATAGTAGCCCCTTAGGCCACTAGCGATTAGGTAAAGAGAAATAATAAAAAAAACTTATACAGTTTCAAAACACAATCGCGTACCTATTATCGCCGTGACGAATCTACATTATCGTAATTACAATAGTAAAAATCAAATAGACCAACTTCTAGCAGCACTATGTGAAACTATTATACAATAAAACGTTTTATAGATTTATAAAAAACAGCAGTCTTCGATTTCTCGTTCGTTTTAAATAATCTAATAATTCAGACTTACGTTGACCAGGAATAGTGCGAATCCATAAAAAAAACTGCACTTTTCGATTATGGCACAGAAATATCGATACAAAACCTTCACCAATACGGTGTATTTTCACTTGATTCGGTCGATCTCGACGTCCACGAATTGCCGTATTTAATTCTAGCGCACGATATCGCCGGCGGGTTCCTCGCCGATGATTTTTCGATCGTGTAATTCCGGCCCTTGTTGTTGTCCCAATACTCGTTGCCCTTGCACCGGAAGCCAACGCAGAAATCCAGTCTTCTCGAATGTATCGGTAATTGTAAACGAAATCCGAAAGTGTCGTATGTCGATTCCTTCTTCTGATTCAGCGGCCCCATCTCGACGAACGCGCAGTAAGCGTCTTCGCTGGTCGCCCATCCGTCGGAAGAAGACCGAACGAACACTTCCTTGCTGAAATCCAGGTTTTTCACTTTCACCGTACCATCGACCGCGCATTCGTTGCTCTTTACAATAACATTTTCTAACGATACACAGTCCTCCGTGATGCGCCGCCTGAATTCCAAATAATCCGAAGCGGGTTGAACAAACCGAGTCTCCCAAAGATCGGGAGCTTGTTTCGGAGGTGGCTTCCGCTCTGGCGGTGGACTTTCGACGACCTTGAGGGCCCAGTACGGCGGCACATGTGAGGGCTCCGTCATGATCTTGACGTGCGCTAACGCGAAGCCACGGTCGTCAGCGAATACCACTTTTTTTTGTTTCTTCTCCGTCGGCATACGGATGCAGGAGCGCGGGGCGCTTTTCAAAGTCAATTGAACAGGTTTCAACGTTGCAAAGCATGGCGCGAAATCTCGCGTCGTCAATCTTGTTGGTCTTCGCAATTGTGGCGTGTAATCAGTTAAGAAGCCGGCCGGCGGACTGCGCCCGTAAAATAACTGTTCGGAAGCGATCATATCTATGGCGGCGCACATCTGACACGGGACGTACTCTTTCGAAAACGATCGATGCCCGACTGAAAGCGAGTTATCGGGGCGCCCCTCTTTTAAAACGTCGGGCGCGTGATACAATACGGTGACAATGATTTCAATGGAATATTCCGGACTCCGGAGTTTATTTACGTTATGAGAAATGGGTCAAGTATTAATGGGCAGACGAAGTTTTAGCGATGTTGCAATTCATAAAAACATTTAATGTATTCACCCTTTGTTTCAGGGTCATTCGGGATTTAGTGAGTGTAAGCGTGGGTTTTTTTATACTTTTTGAAAATAATCTTTGTTATCAGACGTCGTCCTTCCTTTTTTGATTTCCTTAAATTACTGATATAATCAGTTATACATTATCTAACAGTTATACATTATCTAAAAAAAAATTGAAGTTTTACATCAGGCTAATAATTATGGACTGCTCGAATTTTGTACACATACATGTAATAAACTATACTGAGACCTTAGAACTTATATCTCAAGGTGAGTAGCGTATTTACGTTATAGATGTATATGGGCTCCAGTAACCAATTAACACCAGGTGGGCTGTGATCTCGTCCACCCAACTAAGCAATAAATAAAAAAATACACACTCGATTATAATAGAAAGAGACAACGAGTGAAAGTTAAATGGAAGAGGTGCAACATTTTTGATGTATGTCTAGATTGCAGTGAACTCCTATTTCAAGTTGCGTTAATAATGCTCATTTCAAAGTGGCCAGCTGATAATCTGAACCTGGACCTTTTTAGGAAGGAAGACTTACTGGTGGCTCTGAGCCCTTTACAGTTTCACCAAGATAGGCGAGCGAGCACGGGGTCGGCCAGGAGGGATGTAATTTGATAACAGTTACCTGAGCGCCTCCGGAAATGACCTAACAGCTCGAAGGCTGGAGGGAGGAGGTTAATAAAGTTAAGTAGCCATCTATACGATGGGCCTTAAGCTTAATTACCAATCATAAGCAATAAAAAATTTGTTTCCGAATTATTTTTAATTTGTTTTTATCGACTAAGCTTCAATTGGTGGCCGAAGCTAATGGACATTAATAATGTAAATATCGTCATCTAGATTGTGAAAATCACTAGTAGACGCCCTTCAGGAAATCTTGAAAATGGTACTGAACCAGGAATACCAGCTACTGCCTTCGTTTTTATGGAAACCGTCAAAACCAAAACAGTGTATAAAACAAAGTTCCAACAATGTATTTTCCAATCGGTTAACATTTTATCTTGTTCGCATTCCAATCGGCAAAGGTGCGAGGTCATGTGATAAAGTAAATCAGGTTTGCTACAGTATTTCCAATGTAACAATGTTGTTATTTGCAATACGAATGAACCGTTGCAATTACTCTTCGAACTTCACGATGAGTTTNTCAAAACCAAAACAGTGTATAAAACAAAGTTCCAACAATGTATTTTCCAATCGGTTAACATTTTATCTTGTTCGCATTCCAATCGGCAAAGGTGCGAGGTCATGTGATAAAGTAAATCAGGTTTGCTACAGTATTTCCAATGTAACAATGTTGTTATTTGCAATACGAATGAACCGTTGCAATTACTCTTCGAACTTCACGATGAGTTTGACGCGAAACCTATTCAGCTTGCTATGTTTCTCGCTGGATCTTCTCAGCCGGTCGTAATTTAGATACAGTAGTATACATGCGCGAAGAAGCTGCCCTTGAACTGTCAGGTCTCCCTCGAAAGCGTTTGGGTAGCTGTTAGGATAACCCGATTCTCCTGGCTGAGTCCGTTCTAGTCCAATCGTTCTGGTGAAGTTGGAAACTTTTTTAAGCTACCCACGGTTCTTCTATCCAAATCATTGTAATGAGCAGGTCGTTCGATGGAGTTATCAAACAATTAGTGCAGTTCGAACTGTAGACAATAGATGGACACATTCAGATTAGTGACACGCTGTGATGTATATAGTTGCTCACCTAGTGCAAGATACAAATTACTTGCATCCTAAGAACATGCTATTTATTTTATGGTCAAACAATAAAGTTTCATTGAACAATAAAATCGATAAATTAATGATTTATTTATCTGTTTACAAAGTTCGTGCACATTAAATAGTTTTATTGATAAATTGTGACTATATTTAGATTGTTGGAGAGAGGCGGAAACGAGCGATACGACTCTTTGACTATGTGAGTTCCGAGATTTGACATATTACTGATACTATTGTTGGTTTAAGTGAATTTACTTAATAGGAATTTCTATTGTTCATTGGTTATCTGTATTCTACTCGTAGAACTTGTGCAGGTTGGTACCGTTATCCGATATTTGCGCAAAAAAAAACATTATTTCTGGTTTCAAGGTCATAAAATAGAGAAATTGCTGCTTTGACCGGTTTTGCTGCGACTAATAAACGCCAAAAGGCTGAAATTCTCGGGTTTTGTCAAAAATATTGTGATATGACTATTCTGATGCTGCTATTTCCGATGGCCATGCAAAGGACACAAACACATTATTGCTATAACATGCCATTCGTCTACATTTGAATATTGTGTAATGACTTTGCATAATACTGGTGTTTATAAGCTGTATTTTGACGCATTTCGATTATCTTGAAGGAGCACATTGTGGACGACAAGAATGACCGACTAAACAAAACTGCATTTTAGGTCTGCCGCATGTGAAAGCTGAATAATATACGAAACTGCAATAATTATCGCGCTGCACAGCTTCGATTCCCGCTACCCTATTTTTAGTACCGATCGGTAAAAATAGACGGGGTCGTTGTTTTTGCAGTTGTGCTCCTACTTGCCTGCCACTACTTGAGATTGAATTTATGACGTCACGTGGACTTGTAATTAATCGAACACCTGAGGATGTTGGAACCACAAATGGTCTTAGCCGTATGTGGGGGGGACACACATGTACTGGCGACGCGAAAAATTGCAGTTCAAGCATTTATTGACTCCACTCGCCAGTCATTCTGCAAAAGCCCAACGGAATAGACGAGTGTACCCAGCTACTCCGCAATCACCGTCTGAAGCGCATGGTTCGAGACACCTTACTTAAAACGGCCTAATATCACCTCCCTCAAATTAGACTTGTAGCTTGTGTAAACTGTAAAAATATAAGTGCATTGCTATAGTATATGTAAAATTGCAAGTATAAATAAATATACGTCATAGTTTGGCTCAACAAGACTTTGATTAAGCACGCAAACACATCCTTAAAATAATCAAAACTTCATAAATCAATAAATATTACGTGGGGAATTTATGAAATCTTAGTTTTTATTTAATGTTTGCCCTTTTCTTAGTGCGATTCAGGTTTCTAGATACCTTATTTTTTGTTAAATTTTCCACAGAGACACTATCAAGCAAACTTACGAAAAACATAAGCTAATTACGCTATGTCATCATATGACTCAAACTAAAAATCTAATCTATTCTGAAATTGGTTGGTATGTACACCACGTGTAATTAGTTTCCAAACGATTCTTTTCCACCTGATGGTTATCTGTAAGAGATCGCTCTTACCGATAAGACCACCAATTGTACTTTTTTTTGTATTTAATGTTTCGCATTGTTTCTTTTGTTGGTGTACAATAAAGAATACTCTCTCTCTCTCTGTCTCTCTCTTTCTCTCTCTCTCTCTCTGTCTCTCTCTCTCTCTCTCTCTCTCTCTGTCTCTCTTTATCTCTGTCTCTTTCTCTCTTTCTATTGGGCTCTAGCCTGACGCGGGAATATCCGTCATCTCCTGTCAATATGGACACAGTACATGTCACGCGGCCTTCACGGGCACACTTCTCTCCGCCGCGTACGATACATGTAAAGCATAACGCAAACACGCTAAAGACACCGCGGCAATATTCTATTTGCATGCGCCGCGTAAGAATATAAACAAGTATTTCGATTTGTGACGCGGACTTGACGAGGTAATGGGTTTTAAAAACATCAATTTGTCACGGTAAATGTAGTGATGGCGGCAAAATTACTCGTCATATGCGGTTATAGTGTAATTTTTCCTACAGTAATAAAAGGGATCGGATAATGCGAGTACCATGTAAATAGCAGATACTGCTTATCACTTAACGTTGACTGGGTAGGTTTCTGGTGTATGTTTATCAAATTATAACATTTTCAGTTAATTAAAAAATATATTTACGGAGGGGGAAGAGGTCGACCGAAGAAGACATGGATGGAGTGTGTGATATGAGAGAGAGAGTGTTGAGATGACGGCTGATAGAAAAGAATGGAATAGAAAAATTCACTGTTTCGACCCCACCTATACTCTATTCCAACTACGAAGTTCCTTTTGACACTTCTTAGAACATAACTCTTCACGTTTCGCATAATCTTTATTAATAACCATTTTTTGCGGTAAGCAGCGACTTAGCTCTGCCCCTGGCATTGCTGAAGTCCATGGGCGACGGTAACCACTCACCATCAGATATTCTCGTCTGCCTACAAGGGCAATAAAAAAAATTGTTCATGGTCGTGAACATAATTTTAAAAATACACAATCAATCTAAATCATTATACAATTAATTCACACACACAATAATATAATAATATGTCTCATAGAACTTATTAATAATTAGGACTTATTAATAATAAAGAAGAAAAAGAAAAAAATACCACTAACAATCATTGAACAAAATGGCCGTCGCCACTTTTTCTCCATTTTTTCGTATTCGCCATCCGATTTGAAGCTACACTGAAAATGTCACTGATCAGGAAATTTAGTTAATAAATTACAAAATAACATAACTGAAAAATATTAACAGGAAATTTGTCAGTGAACTAAACGATTCATCATATCGGCTTTGGTTAGTAAGTACAATAGGTATGCTGTTTGAAATTCCCAATTTTCTATCATTCAATTCTAAATCATGGACACAGCATAAGGCATGCGAAAGTCACTAATCCGCGCCGGGGTTACGGCGTGATAGTATGAAACTAGTTATGTTAAAATATCACGGAGTAACACGCGGTGAGACGGTGATCGTGCCAAAATTATAAGGAAATAGAAGAAAAATAACATATAATGAGGAAATAAAGTTACACAGGTGCG